TGGTATTGTTGGTACTGCTAGTACTGCTGGTACTGCTAGTACTGCTGCATCTATAGTTGCATGATTTGGACACTTTGCACGAGCTCATGGAACCGCCGTGCCTCTATCCCAACAAGAACCACAAAAGGCTCTACGGTTGGGAGAGTAGTGCTCACATGAGGCATGGGTGCACTGATTTGTTGAGTGGTGAATGCTGGGATCTGAGTTGTTAATACCCCCAACAGAGTAAGGGGGATAGTGAATTGTCCGATGGTCACTTGGGGGGTCTCTGAGTTGATTGCAGGCTGATCTTGCCCCCTAGTGATGAGCATCTCAACGCTCTTGCTAGTACTTGAAGAGGCCATTAATGAAATTTTTGTAGAAAAAAAAATAGTAGAAGGTGAGAACTTAGCTTTTCGTTTGCAGTTCCCATAGATGGTGCCAATTGATTACGTGCGATTTACTTCTTACTAACATTATAGCATCCAAGTATTCAGCTCGCTCAACAAGAGTACTAACTTAAGCATCAGAATGTCCGCACTGGGTAAGCCACCCCAAATTCTCTAAGCTATTCTCTTCTTGCAGTTCGACTGACCAGCTAAGCAACCAACATCCAAGTTGCCCTCCTGCTAGGAGCAACCAGATCGCACACAATCAAAGTCCAAAACCGGATATGGACCTATGACCAATTTCCAAGTCAACTGGTCCAACCATTTAGTCCGGTCTAATTTTCAAAACCATGTTTCTGATTATGGATGGGGATATTTATTGGAAAAGGATAATTTGATGGGGTATTTTTCCACTAAAACATTAACATGAATAAGAATGCCTCTCGTTCAAGTTTTTTGAATGAAGCTCTTTCTTTTTAGCTTTTACCAAATATAATAATGCTTCAACTTTTATTTGTATTGCTCTAACAGTATTGATCTTTAGAATGGAAGATAAGAGTAGAAACTATACCCTAATTTTCCAAGTGTGTGGGTGTTCACTTGAGGTAGGAATATCGTCCAACTATCTATTGATCAAAAACTATGCTAAGACTAGTTTGGCATATAAACTTCTAGTTCTAAAATTTGAAAATAGTACTTTAGGCTATGTTTGGTTGCAGTGCAAATTTATTTGTACTAGTAAAAATGAATGGGAGTACAAATGTAAAAAAATGAAAATTCTTGTTCAATTTTATTTTGGACTTACTTTAATCTGCTTCATGTCTTAATTTACTCCATTTGTATTGTAATCAAACAAAATAAGTTAAAATTTGAAACAAAAATAGGTCAGAATTTATTCCAAATCATTTGCACTGGTTTTGCATCAGTGCAAATTTATTTGCATTGCAACCAAAGACAACCTTAGAACCAAATATAATTATAAAGTCAAAAGATGAACAAAGATGAGGAGGCTTTAAATAGTGAAGTCATAAAAATGAACATACAGAAAATATAGAAGAAATTGAACAATGAAAAGTTGAAGAGTTCAAACAAAACCAACTTTAATTGGAGATGACTTTTCTATATTTTATTTAGTTGATTATAATCCACACTAACGCATCCAAATTCTATATAGTGAACAGAAGTAATAAATAGTAGAAAATAATCAGCATTAAATATACAAGCATTTACCACCTAACCCAAACCTTCTAATCACTGTGGAAAATTGTCTAATGCCACACAATAGTTAACAAAATAATCAGAACTAAACATATGATCATTATAAATATCACAAAGGCACAAAGCTAGTTATACTTCTATTAATTTAGGTGACATCACCTGACCAGCCTCACATTTTTAACCTCAAATCTAATCTATGATTCTTCCTATAAATTTTTTTTATGATTTTGTGCTCAAAGTAAATAGCCTATTAAATGCTAAAATCTTCCATTTCTTGTCTCTTTAGCTTCTGAAACTAAAACCCATTTGTTTCAAATATGCAGTGTATAAATTAAAATAAAATATTTATTTTTTGAAAGCCAAGATAACATATTTTCATATGAGGGCTTGACTATAGTTTCCCATTATACAAACATTATTAAAGCAAAATGATACTTTCCCATTATAGTAGCATCTCTCTTTTTGAGTAGTCCTATTGAACCAAGAGGTTGATTATGACACTTGATTAGTCCAGGGTATACAGAATTTCCTCTGCAAATAGTTTCTCAACAAGCAAATTTCAGACTATCACTAAAATTATTGTTTTTCATATATAAACATGACGGGCCAACCCCCTTTTCAGTTGCAGACAATGGGCCTTCCGGGTCAGTTGCCCAGTTGCCCTAAGCCCATATCTGGCCAACAAGTCTGACACAAACATAGAGGCCTGAAAGCCCATTGAGCTAGCCCAGAATTTGCAAAATATCTCATCCCACGCCCTGTTTGTTTAAGTTGCACAAGTGCCTGAAACATGCATAGCATATTCACGCTTGAACTGAATCCATGTCTTGCAACATCAAATTCTTACTGGCTCCTTGAGACAATCTCAACAATCAATCACTTTTGCCCTTTATGCTGTATTTGGAAACGATGCAAATAAGTGTAATGCAAATATGTATTTCACATAAATTGTAAAGTTGGGTTAGTTTTGCATTGACAAATTTAACTTCTTACCAAATAGACTTTAAATTGTAATGGGAGCCCAGATTTCCTACTCACTTTTTCTACCCGCCTTGAGTTGCACCCATGCATCTCTCAATTCATAATAGAGATGTGTGGCTCCAATTCACGGCAGGTAGAGAGTGGGTAGGAAATCCTAACTGTTGTAATGGATGCAAACATGAATTCCAATAAAGCATATGCCTTTTTTTTATCAAAAGCCCATTTGAATGCAAACTTACTTCTTTTTTAATGTACTTTTACATTTCATTATCGACATAAATATGCATTAGAAAATGTGTTTTCTGTCATTTGTATACATAAATGCAATGTTGCCAAATACAAATACAGGCAAAAATGAACCAAAGTACAAATTTACCCTGAATCAGAATTTACACTCCATTTGTATCATTTCCAATGCAGCCTTATGGTCGCACCGGATCCATTGTCTTGAGCTCTATTCCAATTTCCAAATGTATTGAGCCCCAAAATGATACAGCCTGTAAAAAACAAACAGTACTTGACGAGGTTGCACTAGAAAGAAAGAACAAACAAACAAGTTGAAAGTCTGATACATAAACAAATTAATAAAATCATCAGCTTCATTCAGTGAATCTTTTAGAGTAATAAGGTAAGGAAATAGAAGGGCTGACAACAGGTCGGGTCTAGGTGGAACCAGTCCCCTCCCGAACCAATTATTAAGTGGAACAAATTCACAGACCCAGAACCGTCCCAGTTAATAGTCGGGTCTATCGGGTCTGGACCTGATTATACTGAAAAGTGAAAATTATATCTGTTTATTTGAACAATAACTTAAATTTTAAATTTAACCTTAATAAATGATAAAAAACTATATTATTTATATATTAATAAATGAAATATTTTAACTAATATTATCTTATTTATTATTTATCAAATTTACCATTTCAAATATAAAATATGATACAAATTATAAGAAAACAAAGAAAATATTATGTATATTCAATAAAATAATTGGTTCTGGGTCAGTGGGTCTGAGTAGATTCAAAACAGTTAGGTAAGAACTAAAACTGATCAATTATTAATCAAGACAAAATAATGAAACCAAAAAAGTAGGTGGATATCTATCCTCCTTGACTCTCCCAACTCACTTCAAAATCCAACTTTTGAATGATTATTTGAAGCAAAACTACCGACCAGTCTCATTGCTCTATCCAACGACTGCATTTGAAGCAAACTAGTGGAATTGACGATAACGAGTGTGATTACATATACTGGAGCATGCAATAATTGGCCAGTAAGGCTCTGTCTGTTTGCTGTGCAAATTTCATTAGCACTGACATGGATGAATGGGAGTGCAAATGGGTAGAGTTTAATTCTTGTTTACTTTTGCTTCAGATTTGGTTGTCTTGTTTGTTTGTGTGATCTATTGAAGAGAGAATACGGTAGGAAGCAAAATGATGTAGTCTTCCTTTCATATGAAATACAATTAATTAGATAAGAAGTGGTGCAAATTTTGTATTAGACATTGGTTCAAATAAGGCTCAATTTGGGAGGAGTGCAAATACAGGTTCAGAAAAACATAATATAAGGTTTTGCACTGTATATATTTGTATTTGCACTCTTTTTAAATTGAGCTCAATTTGAAAAAAGTGAAAATGCGAATACGCACAGTACAAATATATACAAAACAATACAAAATATAAGGTCTTGCACTCTACATATTTATATTTGTACTCCTTTCAAACTGAGTCTAAGGCTGTGCTAGGTTGTAGTGCAAATTTATTTGCACTGATGCAAAATTATGGTAGAGCAAATGATTGGGGTGCAAATTTTGATTTATTTTTGTTTCAAAATTTATCTTACTTTGTTTGGTTGCAGTACAAATGAAGTAAAATAAAACACAAAGCAGAATAAGTAAAAATCCAAAACAAAATTAAACCAAAATTTGCATTTTTTTTTATTTGCACTTCCATACATTCGTACTAGTACAAATAAAATTGCACTGTAACCAAGCACAGCTTAAAGTGCAAATGAAACAAAAAGTACAAAAATTGCATCAGTTAAGGGTGTAAATCATAACCACAAACAAATGGATAAAGTGCAAAATCTGTATCTGGTCCAGATTTCCATGGCAAAATATAGATATAGTTCAATATTTATAGACCAACAATATATCCCTGACCCTTACACAATATTCTGTCATTTCAGATACTGCATGTTTTCTGTGTATTTGAAGGGTCTCTTAATGCATAAAATGATAGAGTAATAAAATATTGAAGGATATAGTGAACAACTCAGCTTCAGTTTAAGCACATTCAGTTCAACCACTTCAGCTGTTACCAAACAAACTATTATATAGGAAAAATGAAAAAAAAAAGCATTTTCTTTTAAGAATAAAGTGTTTTGCATGGAAAATAAAACTACTTTTATAAATAAAAAATCCAACTTCAGTTGTAATTTCAAATACCAGACCAATCCCTTTTCCTTAATAGAGCACACTAGCTGGGTTCATGTCCACATACAACACACAATCTCTTCATGATTCTAACTCATACAAGATATACATAAGAATACTCCATAGATATAGATATAAATATAAAATATATATATATGTCAACCATGTCTCAGTCTAAGGGACATGGTGATCATCTACATAATACATATAAATTAAAGGTAAGTCATACAACACAAAAGATTTATTTGATTGGAGGAGGTGATCGATGGATGAGGGTGAGGGGAGTAGTGGAGCTCTATCTCAAGTCTCAAGGATGAATTTGAAGAGATATTTCATCGGGCTGAGGTGGAAGTGGGAGGTGGCCCTTCTCCTGCAGGCTCTTGACGGTGTCGTAGAGGCATTGCATCACCGGCGTGAACTCCAACCCAAGGTCTCTCATTTTCTGGTTCGTGAACTTGTATGGTTTCGCCCTCGGCCTGGTTTCATCCGAGCACCTGCGTTCCACCACAATGCATCCCATCAACACCAATGCCCAAAACCAGACCACACCAGATGGTTGACCCAGTTTGAACCATCAATTAAATGGGCTTCATGGACCAGTCAAATTTTCTATTACTTGGTATTATTTTTAAATTTCTTGTTATTTATTTGGTATTATTTTCAAAATAAATTGGTCCATATTTTTATTGGTCTGAATTGAACTTAACCAAAATTTCAATAAAAGCATTTTTATAAACGGATCAAAAATTGAACCTGACATAAAATCTCTTTTACGAAAGTACTTTTATGAAAAACACTTTTATAAAAGCATTTTTATAAAAATAATTTTATGAAAAGTACTTTTATGAAAGCACTTTTGTAAAAATACTTTTACAAAAGCACTTCTACAAAAGTACTTTTATAAAAGTACTTTTACGAAAGCACTTTTATGAAAGTACTTTTATCAAAGCACTTTTATAAAAGAACTTTTTCAATGCCAAAAGGGTATATTTTGTAATTTCCAACGTTTCTTCATTTTAATATAGCTTTATAATTTTTATATGTTCTGTTTTTTTATATAACTTTTTATATTTCATTCCATTTGGACTGGATCCAATCAAGTCCATTTATATTTTAATGGATGGAATTGGATTTGGACTGGATTGGGTCCTGTCCATTTGTAAGTGGGCTGGATCGAGTTAGACCAAATCCAATCCAATTGACGCCTCTATTTCTAACTAGTAGTCCAGCACTACACCTTGGACGGGTTTTGCCCAAACCAAACCCAAAAAACTAGGGTTGGATTGAATTTCGAGTTAGGATTAGGGTTGAAAAATATATCCAACTTAATTTTGGGTTGGATTAAGGTTGAGGCCTTGACTTCATATTTGCATATATAAATATTATATGTATATATGCACAAAATTACTTGACAAACCTGAACCTATTTATCTTTGTAGCTAAAAAAAAAGTATACACATATTGATCTATCAATACTATGTATGTGTATTATATATCAAAACTTTTAATTTTAAAGACAATTTTTTTTCTAAAACATAATAACTATGTTCTTTATACACATGATAATGCCAATATTGAATTAACATAAATCCTTAGTGTCTAGAAATAAATACATTTTGCAAAAGTGGCTAGAGAAGTCGGACCAATCTAAAACCAACCTCAACGGCTCAACCCAACCTGAAGTTATGTTTTCAAGGTTTAGTTAGGGTTGGGGTTCAACAACTCTGAATGAGTTAAGGTTGACCTCAACCCGACCAAACCCGAGTTGCAGCCCCATTTAAAACGTTATCATGGTTTGAGCCATTTAGACTACGGTCCAACCGATTTGATGAGGAACCACCAGGCACCAACCTCAGAGAGTCCCTCGCTATACGGTCCAGCTTGCACAACATTGAACACTCCGATAATATAAAACGCGATCAAAGGGGGCCCAACTGATTCTAGCAAAGCTGAAAACGACAATTTGGGTTGATTAATGGTCCAAATTGGTGAGGCCCAGTTGGACTCGTAGGTGGGTGGCATCGCAGTCAATGATCAATGGTGAGTGATATGGATTTGAAATTGCGGCCAAGCTGTTTGGCTGTTTCTTGGGAGGTTAGGTGGAGGAATTTTCCCTTCCACAGGTGTTCTGGCCTTCTGGGAGATTCCACCGATTGGGTCAGAGGTGGGTTACCTACCTCACGAAAGTACAGAAGAAGGCTTCCGCATTTGTGTGCACCCGGCCCACCCACCATCTCCAATCTTTAATATATACAAAAGGAAAAAAGAAAAGAAAGTTTTTTCTTAATTTGATCTCAGACCATTTATTATGCACTTAAATCTACTAGATGAAAAACATCTTTTTTTATTTTTATTTTATTTTATATCCTTCTAGAACGAAAATGGAAACAAAAAGGGTCTCACTTTCTTCTAGAAAATCTTTATTTTTTATTTGTTTTTCTTTTTCATTAGAATTGGTAATGGAAATGGGAATCAATGGACATGATGAGTTTGAGAATCAATGTTTCAGTTCCACCAAAAATGACGTGGGATTGACTTCAACAGATCAAGATCAGGTCCAAACAAATGTTGCTTCACCAACTTTAGCTTGGTGCAATGGCCAAGTTTTTCATTTCTTGTCGAATGCTATTTTATATTTTAGTAAGAAAATTCAGTTTGCACCATGGAATACGGGACGACCCGATTATGGATCCCACCTTGTAAAGCCAAAAGCAACAAACTGAAGGTATATATATGAAGAAGCTATTAAAACAAGTTAAATGGAAAAAGCACTTTTTTTTTGGCTGAATGACAACCTATTTGGGGCCTACCAGGTCTTTCACCAAACATAGCTTATTGGCTGTTATATGGAACCCATCTTGCCAAGTCAGAAGCCATTGCCTGAAAACCTTCCCAAATGGCCCATTTGGGACTTGGGAGGGCTGAAGCACAAATGCACAATGGCTTCTAACTGTCCATGTATAAAACACAAACAAATAGCCAATACACCAGTGTGTATCATGGGCTATATAACCAATCATAAGTGAACAAGTGGATGTGCCAGCGTATATACTAACATGTGGGCCCTATGTGCATGGATCACTTAGGATGTTTATTTATGATTGTGATTGGGGTTGTATAACCCGCCATACATTTTTGCTCTTAGGAAATCCTGTCTGGCCCAAAATTGAAATTGGGACTAATAGGGGACCAGATTGGCTGGAGACAAAATTTCACACACCAGATTGGAAAACCAATCAGGTGTGAACACACCAGTATTTTTCATACGGATCCCACCGTGCCCTACTGTCGGAATAAGATGATGCATATTCAAGGGTCAATCCTAAATAGTAAATATCATTTTTTTTAACTGGCCCATCCAAACTAGTGGGTTGGGTCAGCTAAGATCCAATTACGGTAATGGACCAACTTCGGAAAGGTCCATGTTTTTGACTTGGGAGTTGGGAGTGGGGCCTATCTAGTATCTAGACATCCTGATCCTGCGCCCCCGGAACTGAGGTTACTGAGCCGAGCCGGAGTTAACTCGGCGGACGACGAAGAATCTACACGTTGAAGTTGAAGGCTTGAAAGTTGAAACCCAGGTTGAGGTTACGAGTTGCGACGGTTTAACTACTGTGGTAATCTGACCACACGACCGTTGACCATCGCATCAAAAGTGCGATTCACCATAATGAAGATAATGGTACAATGCGCTTACTTGGTGGGGATGGGATACTCCGGGAAGAACTTGGCGAGAATATCGACGACTTCGCCGCGGTGGAGGATGCTCTCGGCGCAGAGGTACCGTCCGGAGGCCGACGGCGTCTCGTAGACCAGTACGTGAGCCAGCGCTACGTCCCTCACGTGAACGTAGGCCTGCACCGAGTTGGCGTACGTCTTGGCCGAACCCGTTAGGTACTTGAATATGTGAATTGTGCTGGCGTTCACCGTCAACTGGAGCAGCGGACCCAACACCAGCACCGGCGTCACCACCACCAGGTCCACCCCTCTCTGCTCCGCCTCATCCCAAGCCACCTGCTCCGCCACCGTTTTCCCATAACAATACCAGTTCTGTCCACACAATTTATATACAGTGAAGTAAGATTAATTGATCATGCATACGCTCAAAGACGAGGACAATTTGATCATTTGAAAAGCTTTTAATTACCAACCTTGGTGTTTTTGCAGAACTCAAGATCGCTCCAGCACGTCTCGTCCACGACTTTGTCCGGGCTCCTGTTGGGGTCCATGTACACCGCTCCGACCGAAGACGTGAAAACCACGCGCCGTACCTTAGCTTCCGCGGCCGCCTTTATTACGTTTCTGGCTCCGTTCACGGCCGGCTCCACCATTTGTTCCTTCGCCAACCGACAATGTCGACGTCAAAACGATAGATTGATTGAACAAACACGAAGAAACAGAAAGTACAGATATTATACCCAAGAGGATGATAACTCACGGGGTCATCAGTGACAGGCGAGGCTGTGTGGAAAACACCATCGCATCCTTGAATAGCAGAGAGAAGGCTCTCGTAATCGAGAAGATCAGCTTTGCAGAGAATCAGTCTCTCCTTGGCCCCGTCAAGTTCCCACAGATGAGCATTCTTCGGGTCATCTGTGATAACAAACAAGACCCAGAAACAGATAAATGCGTATATTCAATTCGGATTAAACACCTAAACATCAAGAAAAAGTTGAGAGAGCATGAGAGAACCTGGTTTTCTAACGGTTCCCTTAACAGTATAACCCTTCTCTAAGAGAAGTTTCACGAGCCAGGAAGCAATGAAACCTCCTGCACCCGTAACACAGACGATTTGGCCGGAAACTGCTGCACCGTCTACTGGCATCTCGACTTCTTTTTCTTCTGCTTACTCTGCTTTGGTGCCTGATAAAGCTAATTTGCAGAGATAAACAGAGAGATGGAGTGCAATGGGCGACGAATGGCAGTGGAGAGTGGAGACTTATATATAGAAGATAAATCTAACCAGGGTTAGTGTGTACGTGACTTCGTGTTCAGGGAGTTGGTGAAGTCCGTAACCGTGGTTATTAATTCTGGCAGTTGTTGGTTCAACACTTCAACTGAAGCCAAAATCATATCACTGCCAGTGTTTTCAAACCATCGTTGTTTCAACCAACCCATGATTTCGGTCTGGATTTTTTATTTTTTTGAGGAATTTCGTTTTGGATTAACCTAAAAGCCAAAAAGGTTTGAAAATCGTTGACAGTTCAATAATCATATTCATCGAATTGAACTGTTGATCTATTTCCTGATCAGCAGGTTACGGGTTAGAAATTGTAAGAAAACTTCCATAGAAAGAGAAAGAGCAAACCAGATTTCCTGCCCACTGCACTCTATCAAGGTTTTAAAAAACCGATCAAACCGGAATCGTTCTGGCGCTAGTTTTTATGTCAACGGTTGACTGTCTGATTCGAATGGATGGTCTGTTTTAATGAATAAAAGAAAAAAAAAGGCTAAAACCATTGAATGAATCAGTGATTTGACCAGTCAAATCAATGGTTTTTGACCAAAGATCAGATTTGGAGTGAAACAGTACCAGTTGCCTCGATGGTTTCTAGGTCGAAGGGTCCGATTATTCGGGTCAATGATGATTCGAAAATATTGCTCTCTACCCACACTCTACTCGCGTTGAATTGCAGCCATACATCGCCATCTTGTATCGTGAAATGTGTGGCTGCAGTGTATTGGCCTAGGGTCCCGGTAGAGAAAGTGAGTAGGATATATGGGTTATCATGATAATAGAAGAGCTTTGATTAGTTCCGGTTATGATATTAGAAAGACATGATACTAGAAAAAATTTATATCCAATCAAACGGTATCACAAAAGAGGTGACCAATCTGGTTGTGTTTATCACAATTCACAGGGTGCTTTGGTTATCTAGAGTTTCCCTTATATGTAAGGTTTAAAGTTTCAATACACCATGATACATTAGGGCATGTATTTGGTGTTTGATCACACATGTTCCAGTTTTTACTTTTTTTTTTTTTGTTTCAAAAATAGGTGAAGGGGTTAGTCTTAGGCCTGCCTTCCCTTTATATAAACCCTAAATTCTTTTTGGCTGTGTTTGTTTACGATACAAATACAAAATCAGGGTATTTATGCACCCGGGTTCAGATTTCTGAGTGTTTTATTTGCCATACAAACAAGAAGATAACAAAAATAGGTTAGAACTGAGAACCCACTCTACATCCTTGAACTGAAAAAAGAGTATTAATGAAGAGTATATATTTGCGTTTGTATCACAAACAAATACAACCTTTATTTCAAACATCCGAGGCCCAATGATACAATACGATAGGCCCATGGCACGAAAGTTGAACTCCATAAATAATTAAACATGCCAAGACCCGATTATCGGGATTAATAATTGGTTCAGTTCTGAATCCGACTTATAAAACCAATTAACAATCAGTTAGAGATTGATCCACCCTGTCCTGAACCATACCAGACCCATTGATGGCTGTATTCATTATCATTGCACTTAAATTAAATAGATAATGGAGAAAAGTTGTTCCAATTCCTACTGAATGTATTGAACCGCTTATTTCTATCCTCAATGTCTTGCAAGTTGGGGCTTAAAAAAGAAKGAATTCTAAGTTAAATGAATAGACACCTTCGACAACGTGTTTATTTTTCATTCAATCGGCTGAAAGAAAAAWTTTCGAAAAATCTAATCTATTTGATAAGAGATGTTTCGTAAAGAAGGGTCTTTTATTTAATATAAATTTTGTTCAGTCTACATCATATGTTCCGGCTTTCCATTTGAGAAAAAATGGGAGTCGGAAGGATCTGCTTAGGCAAAGAACTATAATTCAGGGGCGAGTAAGAAAAATTCAAAAACCAAAAAATTAAATTAAATTGATGAGACCGAACTGATAATTCTGGTTAATCAAATTGATCTATTTGGTATTTTTAAAAATTGAAGGTATTGATTCAGTTAATTAATATAAAAAATTGGTAATTAATCAAACTAAACGGTATATATGTATATATTGTCCTTATATTATAAATTAATAAATATGCATTATATTTATAGCATATAATATATTATTAATTATTTAAAATATAACATTTATATGTATTTCTAGTTTTTTATTATATATTTATATATTTTTCATAATATATATTATAAATATAAAACAAAAAACCTAACGCTAACGAATCAGTCAACCAGTTAACTGATATTTGATTTCGATTATTGATTTTTCAAAAAATTGGTAATACCGCTTCAATTTAAAAAATAAGCCCATGGTAGCTCAGGCTTGTGGCCATCGTCTTGTGTCTGGTCAGAAAATCCAAATTAACTCGATTAATGGTGTCTACAAGAGACAAAGATATCGCCAATGGTCTCAGTGAGATGGGTTTATGACAAAATTTTGAAGTAGGAATTTACTGTTTTTGTCTTCGTTGTTGGGTTTTCTTCATATGGAAGGAAGATCATCGTGAGATTGATTGACAGTGATGATCAAAAGATTCAAAACCATGAGAAACAGATGCTGAACAGAATTAATGATTTGATCTTCCATCATTGAATGTAGTGATAGAAAATTTAGGAAATCGAGTATTTTACAAGCAACGATTTTGGAGTTTGAGCGGAAACCATGGCGGATTTTGAGATGATTAGAGCTTCCAGGTGAGGTTTTAATTTTACTTGGCAATGAACTCGATTCAGCTGGTGTTAGCGATAGTAATTATGGAAAATGAGGAGGATTGGACAACAAGTTGAAAATAGAAAAAATCCTTCCACTTCATTAATTTGGAAGGATTTCAGATTTCTTAGTTGTGTTCGTATTTTAAGCTCATCGAAGGAGTATAAATACAAATATATAGACAGTAAAACCTTGTATTTTATATGTATTTGCACTATACAATTTGTATTTGTATTCCAAATTTGAGCCTTAGGGACAATTGGAAATTTGGTTTGTTGCAACTGAATTATAGCATCGCTAATTGATGTAGCGCAATTCGGCTGTTCCTTGCAGGAGATGATTTGCTACCAGCAACAACGGGCTTGATGAACCTGCAAGAGATGAACCAGAGAACCCGGGGTTGTTTATATGGCGGAGTCGCTCCGATGCTTAAATTAGCACTTGATTTGCGAGCTGAAAATGATATTAGATTGTGAGAGAGCTAGAGAGCAGAGATTACGTCTCTTCTAGCCCCTAGGGGGAGGGGGGTGAGGCCTTTATATACTGGAGTCCTTGCGGGTTTGGTGGAGTAGTTCCTGGGTCCCTGCTGTGATGGGATCCGTTTCCGTGTTAGTTGGGGGTAACGCCACCAACCGGTAAGGTTGCCCATTTCTGCCTAAATCGGAGAGTGGGTGAGCTAATACTAGCCATTACAAGGCATGATCCCGTAAGTCGTGGGGTACGATGGTGAGATCCTTGGAATTACCATGTGGCGGTTGGCGAGCACCACCTGAGCTCGTGCTCTTCATACCTGTCATGCTGTGAATGCCGAAATGCCTTAATACCGAGGTGATCTTGCACCGAGGTAGGCTTGTCCCGAGGTGGACTCTTTCCGAGGTGGTCGCGATCTGGGCTCGATCTGTAGCGGACCTGATACCGCTATCCTGGTCGCAATCTGGTACTGAGGTGATCTTAGTTCGGGATGATATTGGCTCAAAGTAACTTTAGTTCGGGGTAACAGGGTACCCAAGGTCGCTTTGTAGCAAATTGACCACGCCAAGTTGTCACTTATGTCGAGTCACATCCATGTGTCAAACTGACCATGCTGAGTTGTCACTTATGTCGAATTACGTCCACGTGTCTCCATGTTACGAGGTCAGGCCAAGTTACCCTTCATCACTAATCTTCTATTTGAAATGGAAATTTGACTTCACAAAATAATTGTTGTGAGATTTTGTATGTTTGTGGTGCAAATTTACTTCCACATTGATATAGCGTTTGTTTGGCATCAATGTTGTTGCTTCAAAAAACGGTGATACATCAACGTCAAATCGGAAAAAACGGTGTTCCAAACCATTCCTTGAAAATCGAGAAGGCGTGATTTGGAGCAACGCCAAATTTGACTTTTTCTCATATTGGAGCTTGTTGCTGCCAACGAAGATGTGATGTGGTAGTGACATGGACTTTCTTAATGGGTACCAGTGCTGAAAACAAGGATGGTACCAAACAAAAAGTGTTGTTGCTCCAGGAAATGTCCTATTTGACGGTACTTCCAATCCACACATCAGCAGCACCGTCTGCACCATTGATGCCAAACACACACACATATAGCATTGATGCCAAACCATATATATATATATATGGTTGGGAGTGCAAATAGGACAAGTGTAAATTCTGTTTTATTTTTACTTCAGATTTGACATTATCTTATTTATTTAAATAAAGTAGAATGATGTGGTTTCCATCTTACAACATGAGACAGGAACAAGTAGGAATCAATGCGGTCACCACTTACATGAGAGAAAATTGAGGTAGGAGGAAGATGGTATAGATTTTGCATCCACTAATTTTAATTAGTGCAAATGAGAAAAAAAAATTACAAATTTTGTATCAAATAGGAATGAAAATCATAATTACAAATAAAAATATATAAAACTGAACTGAGTGCAAAATTTGTATTCTGATTAGATTTGCATTACAAACAAACAGAACCCAAAAAAGAAATGAGTTTTGGTTGTTCTTTATTGTTTGTTTGGTAGATTCTACTATACCAAAAGGACACAATACAAAAAAAAAAAAAAAAAAACTTATAACCAATCAACCGATATCACAAAGTGATAACGGATGATTTTAATTAGTAAAGTCCTTCCGATATCATGTTTTTGCCGACAGCATAGGTTTTCCCCGTCTTGTTTGTAACCCAAAACCTTTCCAAAAGATTTAGTTGAGATCCGAGGGGTAAAGCGTCATCGTTAGTATTGGTAAGACATGAAATTA